TGCTGGTTTATTCAAAGGATCACAGGCAAAATTAACATCACACGTCCAGGGAGCCCGGAAGATGAAAAAAGCCCCGAACCTAATAGCCTATACAATTTAATCACTTGGTTGGGCTAGCCCCATCCTACACAGGCAACGTCAAACCGTGACGTCACCTGATATGCCAGCTTGGCAGCTGACCATAGCAGTAGTCAAAACATGGAGAAAATTAAAGTGTGTGGCTGTTGATTAGTGGTGTGTATCTAAAAACATACAGGACATTCAGAGACATGTCCGAACAGTAAGCCTCGGAAGATATTATAATTAAGATTACGGCTGAGCATAGCATGCTACTAGCAATATTCATCCTGCCTGCAGACTCTGCAATCTAGTTGACCTTGGCCTAGATGCAGCCTGCAGAACTCATGACAATGAACTAAGCATTTACCAGCCTGAGCATAGACAGCCTGTCTCCACTAAACATTTGCTAATACAATAGATGTCTAACAAATATCTATCTGACTAAGAAATTACCTAACAGATGAGAGGTGAAACGTCTTCTACCTAAAGCTACATCCAGATACCTTCTTCTAAGTTTTTTAAGTTCAGCATACTACGACCTGGATGACTGAGAATTTGCACTGACATGATGGTGTAAAGAATAAAAAAATTGATTCAAAGACACAAGTGTAATTGCCCAGTTCTTTTATTGGACAGATTTGATTAACGAAGGAGTTTGTCTTTCTTCATTTAGTGCTGATTTATTTTAAACCACAAGTAAAAAATTACAAAACACAACCCGGGTGGCTCCCTCCTCCCGACAAGCTGCTGGAAAAAGGAGATCCCAGAAACACAGAGCCTAATACATTTATAAGTTTTGGGCCACCCCCTTATATAGAAAGAATGCAAAACATCACGAAATGGAGTCAGTCCACATACTCCATCTCTTATCTGGAGTTCCAGCTGCATGAAGCCGCTGGCCATAACAAAATGAAGAATTTCAATGTGTGTGTGTTGTCACGTGGTGCGTAACTAAAACATTCATTCAGACATAATATTCTAACACAGGATTAATTCAGGAAAACAATTGGTGTCATAGCTCACTGCTAACCTTGAAACAGAGCAGACTAGAGCAGACTTTAATTCTTACTAAATTGCATTACTAACACAAGATTCAACACATTAAGGTTTAAGAATGATCTAACTGATTTACTAATTTCTAACACAAGAGTTAATGGCAGTGGCCAAGCCATAGTTAGATAAACTGACCATCTCTCATACTGCAACTATTCATAAGCCTACAGTACTCACTATATTTCAGTACAATACTGTGCACTCTTTTGCAGTATTTTGTATTTTGTGATTGACAACATTTTATACTTTTTCAATTTAAAGTATTTTCTTTATTACAACAAAGTTTGTATTTCCTGTGGTGCTGAGATGAATGTGGTTGAAGCTGCTCTGTTGTACCTTCCAGGGTATTAATAGTTCGTCATCATCAAACATACACTTTATGGCTATACCTGAAGTTCTTCTGATTTTATTTGCATCTTACTAAAACATTGTTCTGGCATCATAACACCAGTGTATCAATCTGTAGTTGCTATTTGATGTTTTATATAACTTACTAACAAGCCTAAATTAATTAAATGAAGTATGGCCACAGTAGGGGCGTCTATAACATAATTTCTCTCTTTTTCTACAGTGTTCAATGTTGGGCAGTACAGGAGAGATGCAACATGTTCGTACAGCAGCTACGAGTTCTTTAGACCTGACAACACCGAGGCCATGAAGATACGCAAGTATGAACCTTCAGCTTCACAGACTGTCACTGCAACCAGTGTGTGTCTCATTTCCTTGGAATATAACCCAGTTAAATATGGATAAAACTGATATGAAAGTGTCAGTGCGTGACTATGTAACTATAAACTAGATCAAACTGTGTTTCCATGTACAGGGCATGTGCCATTGCTGCCCTGAAAGATGTTTGTGACTATTTCACTAGAGAGCAGGGTCAGGTTGTGGTAAGTGGAATCTAACATAATTGATGTAATCCTTAAAGCACCTATAACCAATACTTTTATAATAATAATGTATCAAGTGACAGCTTGAGAACAATGTGAAATGGATTTTGAGGTCCAGTGACCAAAAAGGCTTGGTGTATTTATCATTTAGTCCAAAAATAATTTGTCACTGATCTTGTTTGTCCCCATAAGGTTTTTGATGCCACCAACACCACCCCAGAGCGCAGAGAGCTCATTCTCAGCTTTGCCAAAGAAAATGGTTACAAGGTTTGTTTTTTGTTTGTGTTACATATGGAAACTGGAAAATAAATATGGTTCCAAATTCTGCTATAATTTATTTTTGTCAACTGTTCAGGTTTTCTTTGTGGAGTCAATATGTGATGATCCAGAAATCATCGCTGAGAATATTAAAGTAAGTGTGTTTGTACACATTTATGCAGGAAGCTGTAGTTCCAAAATCAGTGCAAATCCATGCTTTGAGCCAAGACCCAGTGTGTTTCTAATTTGTTATTGGTGTAAAGAACTGAAGTAAGCAGTCCCTCATCAGAGCAGCAGTCACATACAGACCGATCATTTGTCTTGGTGAGAATTGGTATGACATTCAAAGATTCAATTCAATTTTATTTGTATAGCACCAAATCACAACAAACGTCATCACAAAACACTTTTCAAAGTAAGGTCTAGACCTTACTATAATAATTATTATAGAGGAAAAACCCAACAGATCCCCCTTGAGCAGCACTTGCTGACAGTGAGGAGGAAAAACTCCCTTAAACGGAAGAAACCTCCAACAGACCCCAGCTCTTGGTGGGTGGCCTTCTGCCTCGATCGGTTGGGATGGGTGGATAGAGGAAAAAGAGAACAAAGAAAAGCAATAAGACACAACAAACAATCAAACACTGGTCAGGTGACATGTGACATGTGACAGGTGACAAAGTTAGTGACATGTAATGGTGGCATATAGGTGCATGGAGAGAGAGAGGAGCATAGAAGAATGCAATAAGTTCAGTTTTGTCACAAGTCATCCAGACCTTTATGTCTTTAAGACATGCTTGAAGTTTGACCAACTGGTCTGATTTGTCTGGGTTCATACATAAATATAACTGAGTATCATCTGCGTAGCAATGGAAATCTATGCTGTGTTTCCTGATAATATTGCATAAAGGGAGCATGTATAAAGTGAAGAGAATTGGACCTAATACAGAACCCTGTGGAACGCTGTGACTAACTTCAGTCTGTGTGGAAGATTTATCATTAACATGAACAAATTTGAATCTTTCTTATAAGATTTGAACTCAGTGCTGTTCCTTTAATCTCACTAACATGTTCAAGTCTCTGTAGTAAGATGCTGTGATCAGTGGTGTCAAAAGCAGCACTGAGATTGAGGTGGACAAGTATGGAGACAAGTCCTTTGTCTGAGGCTAGGAGGGGATTGTTGGTGACTTTCACCAGTGCAGTTTTTGTACTATGATGGACTCTAAAACCAGACTGAAAATCCTCAACAACAAACAAATCATTCTTGCGCAAGTGGTTACAATAAGAGTAGGCTTTTTGAGTAGAGGTTTAATTACTGCAACTTTAAAAGCCTGTGGAACATAATCTGTTAATAGAGAGAGGTTAATCAGATCTAATATGGACATGTTGATTAGGGATAAGATGTCTTTGAGCATCCTAATCGGGATGGGGTCTAAGAGACATGATGATTTAAATGAAGTAATTGGTTTTTTTGTTGTTGTTGTTTTTTTATTGAAACAAAGTAATACATTAACAAGACAGATCCAGACATGAAAAATAAGACAGCAGATACATGACATTACAAAGAGATGTAGAGTGTGTGAGATTCTAGTGTGTGAGGGTGTGAAGTGTGGGTATTTCCAACTTATGCAGTCTATGAAAGGCAAGAAAGGTCAAAGGAGAGAGAAAAAAATTTAACAATAACAATGATGTCCATGCAAATTCTCAGTTGTCCAGGTCATAGTACGCTGACAAAACATAGAAAAAAAAATCTGTACTTGGTTTTAGGTAGAAGACGTTTCTCTAGTCAGCCAGTTTCCTGACTGTTTTCTTGTACTCACGTACCAGTTGAAGGGCGTCATTCCCAAAGTGAGTAGCAACATGTCCTCTAACAACTGAGTCGTTATAGCCCATTATCAGTGAGCGTCGTTACCTGTCTTTGAAACCTCACCTGTGGACCGACACCTATTGTCCTGGTGGACATGTTTGGGCCCAGTTGTTAGGTCACTATGTGTGTGTGTGTGTAAAATTAAATGTGTCATGCGGCATACTCCACTAATCAGTGAAGGGAAACATGTCGACTGTGGCTCTTGACTAATTACTAATATCATCAGTTATGATTGTACAAAAAATTGTCCATCTTTTGTAATGACCTGTTTTTTTGCATTAACTGGTCATAAAACTTCATCTGTACTGCACTATAGTAACAAGTCTAGACAAAGCTTAAGCTAGTAACACTCAGTAATTGTTTGTGTCTTTATTGAACAGTTAAACATTCACAGTACTGGTGAAAAAAGTAAGTGAACCAATGGATTGAATAACTGAAGCTCCTTTGGCAGCAGCAACCTCAAACAATGAGTTCCTGTAGCTGTGGATCAGACCTGCAAAACATTCAGAAGGAATATTAGGACATAGTTCATCACAGAAGTACTTCAACGCAGACATAGCCTATTCTTTGAATGTTTGGTGTGAAAGCTTCTCTGAGCTCATTCCACAGCATCTCTGTTGAGTTAAGCCCTGGGCTCTGATTGAACCATTCTAAAAGTTGGATTTTCTTTGTCTAAAGTAATTCTGTATTAGATTTACGTAAGTGTTTCCGATCATTGTCCTGCTGCATCATGAAACCTCTACTGAGTTTCAGCTGGTAAACAACTACTCTGATATTATCCTAGAAGATACCCTGATCAGCTTGGGATTTCATTTACCCCTCAGTGATTAACAAGCTCCCCAGACTCAGAGGCAGCAAAGCAGCCCCAAATCATAGTGCTCCCTCCACTGTACTTCACTGCTGGATGATGTTTTCATGTTGGTATGCAGTGCACTGTTTACACCGTACACGTGTTCTTCCCAGTGTTTCATCAGCCTAGTAAACACTTTCCCAGTAGTGTTATAGAGTGTCAAGATGGTCTTTGGCAAACTTCAGGTGTGCAGTGATGACACAGTGGCTTCCTCTGTGGTGTCCTAACATGGAAAACATGCCCCATGCAACCATGTACCATGACTTGCATACAGTGCTGTAGACTCATGAACTGAGAAGTTAAGTGAATAAGCTAATTCAGAACTGACAAACTGACATTAACAGTGAATAGAGGCAAGTCATTGTAAGTTTGTGTATTATAGTTTTGTCTCACTTTCAGCCCTTCAGACTCTCTCTTTTTCAAAATAGCAAGTGAAGCTGAGCAGTCCGGACTATGCAAACTGTGACAAAGAGGAGGCTGTGGCCGACTTCCTCAAGAGGATAGACTGTTACAAATTGACCTACGTCCCACTGGACGACAACAAGGACAGGTAATCACATCTGCAGTGCAAAACCAGCTCAATATTCCTATTTACACTCACAGTGGACATCCATTGGATTCCCACCTCACAATTTGCATCTAGTGTCAATGCAAGCATTTCATGCAGTAGGCTGGATGTTTGTCTTATCAGACCTTTATTTTATTGGCTTTTCATTAACTGCAATAAAATCTGGGGTAGCATAGCTGAGGAGATGTGTGTCCAGCTGGTTGAACATTGCTGAAGTACGTAATAGGTTGTTCATTGAACTGAGTGGCAACATGGAAGAGAGTCAGCCTAGGCTAAATACTCTCAGGCTGATGAGGAAAATGTGCTACAGCTGCGCCAAAGGCATGCCCAGCTGCTCAGACCAGAATGCCCAGAGTAAGAATGCCCATCACTGAGAGCGACCTGGGGAACAGAGCGATAGGCATCCTTAATTACAGTGTAGCAGTGGTCCAGTGTGTTTCTGTCCCTGGTGGGACAACTGACATGCTGTCTGTATTTGAGCAATTTGTGGGTGTGATTTGCTCTGTTAAAATCCCCTAAGACAATGAGTAGGGTATCTGGCTGTTTCTGTTCCATGCACATTATCCAGTTGGCTAGGAGATGCAGTGCATTTTTAGCACAAGCTTGACATGGAATGTACGTAAATACCGACCAGGATAAATGAGGAGAACTCCCTCAGTGAATAAAAGGTTTGCAGTTAATGAATAATGATTCAAAGTCCATATTACAAGTTCTCTCTAACACTGTGGTATCCTTACACCAACTTTTGTTTATGTAAGAGCAAATTACACTTTCTCTCATCTTCCCAGATAACTCCTTTGTGCTCTTCGCTCTGTGGATCTAGTATCCTGTCTGGGGTCGAGTCACTGAGCCACATCTTGATGAAGCATAAAGCCGCAGAACATGAGAAGTCAGAATTAGTCTAATTGACAAGAAGTAGTTTGTTCATTTTGTTGAGTGGAGATTCGCTAGATTTATAGCCAGGAGTGGTGTTTGGTAAGCTAGCTGACATAAGTTTACCAGGGCATCCTCATACTTCCTCCTTTGGCATCTTCTCCAGGCTCCAAAGATGGCAGCTGCTCCACTAACTAAAATTTCCAAATAAGTTTTCCTGTCCTTCAAAACAGGAGAACAGAATGTTGGAGCTGTTGGATGTTCAAGAGCTCATCTGGTTACAGAAAACCAACAAAAACAACAAAAGCCCATGAGAGCACACCACTGAGGCTGCCAACCGCAGTGTCATCTTGAGTCATCTTACTGTATGCTCCCTATTATGTCTAAATGTTGTAAGTTCAGTCCTTGTAGTGTAAAGGGATACTTTTGATAGTCCTCCATCCATAGAGCAACTTCTTTTAAGGTTATAGCATGCATTGTTTGAGTTTTCATTTGATGGTCATACCATGTGTTGAGTGAGTTTTCCTTTGTTGGAAGGTTGCAACATTTCTTATGTAGGCTTATACAGTCATGCAGTATATGTATATATATGATTGTGCTATTCAGTCACTGCCTGGCCTTTATCTACATTTTGAGTTTGAACAGGATGGAACTGGTTAACTGCAGGCTGTAAGAGACTAATTACTTTTAACCCCATCACTTTTGAAATCATAAGCATAAACATGAACTGAAAACATAATATAAATCACAAATGATTTCATAAACCATCAATGAAAACACTGCTATGATTATTCTAAACTATCATCTATGTTTACCACTATATGAATTAGCAAGAAAATACACTTATCAATAAAAGTCAAAAGCATAATGATCCACAAATCACATTGCAGAGTGAACTTTAGGTGAACAAGCTTTCCCTATATTGTAAAACACAGGCCTTTTAAAGTACTCAAAAAGGATTATACTGGAGTAAATATGTAAAGCGCATAGATTATAAGAAAGTAAATATTATGCAAAATACATGATCATGAATGCTAAATTCAGAATCAGAATTGGAATCAGAACTTTTTATTTGCTGCAAAACTTTTGTCCCAGTCTTGAAAGGCTACTACAAGTTTTGGAAGTCCAGGCTTTTAAAGATAATAATAATAATAATTAGATTAGAGTCAACTTTATTGTCATTACACATGTACAAGTACAAGGCAATGAAATACAGTTTAGCATCTAACCAGAAGTGCAATAACAACAGTGCAGAGTGCGCAGTATGTACAGTATCTACAGTATGTACAGTCAGTACTAATTTACCGATAGATATGTACAACTGATATTTACAGTAAGATATGTAAGGTAATGTACAATATACAACAGACTTTATGGATTTAAATTACAAGTAATGGATAAAGTACATTAAGTTTATAAAACACTAGTGCAATGGGATGAAATGGAATGAAATAGTGCAGATTAAGAAGATAATAAGTTACATGAGTTAACTGTTCAATGGATGTAAATAGTGCAAAGATAAATATGCAGTATTCTGTGAGTATGTGCAAAGTAACAGATCACTTCAGTATTTGGTAACAGAAGCGTATTGCATTAGTCCCAGGAGGATGGGAGATGAGAAGGGGTGAGGTGTGTGCAGTGGTATAGAAGAAGGCAGTGGAGGTCAACGGGGGACAGAGTTCAGTAAGGAGACAGCTGTGGGGAAGAAGCTGTTCCTGAGTCTACTGGTTTTGGTCCAGAGGCTCCTGAAGCCCCTCCCAGAGGGTAGGAGGTCACACAGTTTGTGAACAGGGTGAGAGGAGTCCTTGAGAATGCTGCCAGCACGTCCAAGACAGCGTTCCCTGTGGACACCCTCAGTAGCTGGAAGTGGATTCCCTGTGATGCATTGGGCAGTTTTCACCACCCGCTGCAGCACCTTGTGGTCAGAGACGGAGCAGTTTCCATACCAGACTGTGATACAGCTCGTCAGGATGCTCTCAATGGCACAGCAGTAGAAGTTCACCAGGGTGGCTGAAGACAGGTGGTTCTTCTTCAGTGTCCTCAATAATAATAATAATAATAATAATAAGTTACATTTGTTGGCACTATGCAAAAAGAAGAAACAGAAACAACGAATAATTAAAGCACGCAGCAATACAAAATAGCAAAGAATAGCAAAGTTAAAAAACGAGGATGAATAGATTACAGTTGTGTTATGATAAATATACTAATTTAAACAGTTGTGCCTTGAGCTGTGTTTTGAACAGCACAATAGAGTCCAGCTCGTGAATATGTAGCATAGTGATTTCCAGTCCTGGTGAAGGCCCTGGCACCTGTGGTGCTGTTCTAAAAACAAGGACAGGCAGCAGAGTGGCAGAGGAGAATCTTAAGGAATGAGAAGGGATTGTTTCCAATCAGTATTTTAAAATGATGTTTTAATGGCAGTTTGATTCACAGTTTTGGATGATTTGGAGCCAATGGAAATGTTTACTGGAAATATCAGAGAGGATGGCATTGTAATAATCAAACCAAGATGTTATATGTATAAGAACCTGAGTGCTATGATATGAGAGGACAGAATGTAGTCTGGATATACTGTGTACATAGTGATAGTAAGAGAGATGTTAATGTGTGGGCTAAAGAAAAGTACTGTTTAAGTTGGGTGTCATCAGCATCACAATAAAAGTATTTTTCATAATGTTGGAGAATATTTTCAAGGGGAAGGAAATATATAAATAGAAGTTGACCCAAAACTGACTCCTTAGGAACAACTTGGGTAACAGAGGCTAGTTCTTACCTGACATTCTTTCCCTGAACAAATATATATCCAGCTGTTTTAGGAAAAGACTTGTGTTTATGATTTTTAAAGATTTGTCTTCAGTAGGAAATAATAAGCTGAGAGCCATCAACAGAGTATAGAAGGCAGAAAGTATAAAGACACATTAACACAACTAACTGGTGCAGTGCAGGTTTTGCTCTTTTCATTAGATTTGTTGAAATAAGGAAAACATATAATAATACCGGGCTTATGATATCAATTCCTTTGAATTTGAGAGATATTGGAAGAAAATAAATTTGGGATTTTGCACTTACTATGTATTGCAATTCTGTTGTTATAAAATGAAGATTTTCTGTCCTCTTCTTGTCTTAATGCAGGAACTTATCTTACATTAAGATCTTCAATGTTGGCAGCCGATACCTGGTGAATCGGGTCCAGGACCACATTCAGAGCAGGATAGTCTACTACCTCATTAACATTCATGTCACGCCAAGATCTATCTACCTATGTCGGCACGGAGAGAGCGAACTCAATCTTGTGGGTCGTATCGGGGGAGACGCTGGGCTTTCATCTCGTGGAGCAAAGGTTAGGGGTCTTTGTTTTGTGACTGAATATCACATATCATAGATTCTCTTTCTATTCTTATGTCCCATCTATATGCCTGTTAGTTTGCCAGCGCTCTAAGTGTGTACATGCGTGGGCAGTGTATCAGTGACCTGAAGGTGTGGACGAGCCACATGAAAAGGACCATCCAGACTGCAGAGGCACTGGGAGTCCAGTATGAACAGTGGAAGGCCCTCAATGAGATTGATGCTGTGAGTGTTTGTGCATTCACAGCATTTTCATGCTGTATGTTGGACACATACAAACATGTCAGATTTATTTTTTGTTATTTACTCTTCATATTTTGCATAATTTTATGGATATTTGCACGCTACTATGGTTAATTATGAGAAAAGAGCTCCTAATTACGAGATCAAGAACTCATAATTATGAGGAAAAGATACTCTACAATTAATGATAAACTTTTACAAGAAATAGGAAGTATTATGTTGCGATGAGTTATACAGTTGGATATAATTTTTAGCACATACTGTATTTGTTTACATTTTGGAAAATTAAATACACCAAATTAGTTATTAAAATTTAATTTTCACTATGTACCATAGGATGTACTGATGGCTGTTGCCAATTTACTCTGATACTGAAGAAATCTTAATAACCTGATGGTTCTCAAGCAAATTTCTGCACCAATAAGATACTGCATATTATTTCATAATTGTAAGATACTGTAATTATTAGAAACTGTTTCAGATTTTGTGAATACACTGTGCTTCTGTGAGAAAATGGTAGGTCAGAGGAAAAAAAGTTGTGTTTTGGGCCCTCTTTGTGCTTCTGTGTTTGCTACCTTAGGGGGTTTGTGAGGAGATGACATATGAGGAGATTCAGCAGAATAACCCAGAGGAGTTTGCACTAAGGGATCAAGACAAGTATTGCTACCGCTACCCAAAAGGAGAGGTAAGTAATTGCTAAGAGTTTTTCCACTCAAATTAATAAACTGTTTTAATAAATTAATCTATAATTTAATGCTTTGAAATATATTAATACAATTTAAAGATAGCTTAATCCAAATCATTTGAATCCTTTAGGTTCACAGGATGAAACAGCTGTTACAGTTTTTCTGTTAAGCTAGGCTATGTACCTTTTAGCAGGACTAGCTCAACTGGTTTTTGTTTTGCCTTGTTTTGCTTTGCTTCTTCCATTATTACTAAAATGATGGAGCATTGACACTAATATTTAAATTACAGGAAACAAGAAGGAAATAAATTGGTTTATATGCTTTCACAAGCTAATTGTAACTATTTTGAGTACAATCACATTAATTTTTGGACAGTTTATCATACTATATTTGTCGATCTCATGTCTGTGCACCAGTCATACGAGGACCTTGTCCAGCGCCTGGAGCCAGTCATTATGGAACTGGAGAGGCAGGAGAACGTTTTAGTCATCTGTCATCAGGCTGTTATGCGGTGTCTGTTGGCATACTTCCTGGACAAAAGTGCTGGTGAGGGCCTGGAGTCTGGTGGTGATCTGTCAATCAATCCCATAAAAAGAGCACAACCCACATGGAACTTGTGGGTTTGGCTTGACTAATACTCCTACAAATAAGTATTCCATTAATATCCAGAAATTTCCTTCATTACCACGAACACACACTAGTTTATTTTGACTCAATCCCACACATATTGTCCTGCTGCTCCATATACTCAAAAGAGCACCAAATGTACAGTTGAAGTCAGAGGTTTACATACACTTAGGCTGAGGTCATTAAAACAGATTTTTTTAGCCACTCCACAAACGTCATGTTAACAAACTTTTGTTTTGGCAAGTTGGTTAGGACATGTACTTTATGTGTGACCCAAGTAATTTCCCACCAGTTATTTACAGATAAATTATTTTACTTAGAATTCACTAAATCATAATTCCAGTGGGTCACAATTTTACATACACTCACTTAAACAGCTCCAAAAATTCCACAAAACAATGTCATGGATTTAGAAGCTTCTGATTGGCTAACTGACATCATTTGGGTCAATAAGAGGTGCACCTGTGGATGTATTTTAAGGCCTATCATCAAACTCAGTATCTCTTTGTTTGACATCATAAGAAACTCAAAAGAAATCAGCAAACACCTCAGAAAAAAAAACTTTGGACCTCCACAAGCCTGCTTTACCGTAGGAACAATTTCCGAACACCTGAAGGTACCATGTTCCTCTGTACAAGCAATACTATGCAAGTATAAACATCTTGGAACAATGCAGCCATCATACCGCTCAGGAAGCAGATGCATTCTGTCTCCTAGAGATGAATGTACTTTGGTCCAAACAGTCAGTCCCAGAATGACTGCAAAAGACCTTGTCAAGACACTGGAGGAAACAGGTACCAAAGTTTCTGTATCCACTTAAAATGAGTCCTATACTGACATAACCTGAAAGGCTGCTCAGAAAGAAGACGCCATAAAAAAAGGCAGACTACAGTTTGCAGCTGCAAATGGAGACAAATATCTGACGTTTTGGACAAATGTCCTCTTGTCTGATGAAACAAAAATGTAACTGTTTGGCCATAATGACCATCATTATGTCTGGAGGAAAAAGGGGGAGGCCTGAATGCCGAAGAACACCATCCCAACCATGAAACATGGGGGTGGCAGCATCACGTTGGGGAGCTGTGACATCTTACATCAGCTTTTGTAAAAATGTGTGCGTGCCCAACAAATCCTTCTACACATACCACAACAACAAGCCCTGGTTCACAATAAGACTCAAGCAGCTTCGTCGTGCCAAAGAGGAGGCTTACAGAAGTGGAGACAGGACTCTGTATGAAGTCCTTTGAAAGACTGGTGTTGGCCCATCTGAAGGACATCATAGACCCCCTGCTGCACTGCCTGCAGTTTGCCTACTGGGCAAACAGGTCAGTGGACAAAGCAGTCAACAGCTCACTGTGCCTGCCCCCACCTGTCAGTGGATCACCAGCTTTCTGACAGACAGAAAGCAGCAAGTGCGGCTGGGGAAAACCACATCCAGCACCCACAATCAGCACAGGCGCCCCCCAGGGGTGTACGTAAGTATGTAGTAACAAAGAACACTTAGTCTTAAAATAAAAATGTACATAAAGGCAACAAAGCATTAGAACCATACACATAAGGATTATAAAAGTAGCGTCAAGGTCAAGAAAAAGCACTGGTATAAAGACAAGTTATTTTTTAAGAAGTTCAATAAATGCCCAATGTTTCCAAAGGCAATAATTGTTTTAAATACTAGTGATCTCACTATTGACCAAAAGAATTGTAATTATGATAACTGTCCTAACTGAGCAGCCATACAGCTTACTGCTGTGGCTAAGCCATGTACAGTATGTGCCACATTCAAAGATTCCCATATGGTGCTGATATAGCAGCCTTTGTCTTTTATTTTCTTTTTTTGTCCCTTTTCTGTATACACTGACTTGTTCTGGGGTCACAACTTTCATTTGTTTATTTAGTGATTCAACTGACGAGATACCAAATCAAATATAGCCTGGCTTTTGCACGCATACCAAAATGTCCGCTCCAATTCATGCCTAACTGAATTCCATTTACAAAAGAATAGAGGCCCAAACACCTTCAAAGATACACCCACAGTTTGGCTTCTCAAAGGCCTTTTTTTTTTAACAGGATGATCTGTGATAATGAACTACTAAAGAAGAACCTAAGAGTCTGATCTAGGTCATTTTATGATTAAATAAATATGACTTTCTCTCTCTCTGTCAGATGAGCTGCCCTACCTGAGGTGTCCTCTCCACACGGTTCTGAAACTCACCCCAGTCGCCTATGGTTAGTACCTGTTAACATATGTTTTCACACAATGACAGCACCCCTTTTGTTTCATCATGGGTTGCCACAGTTTCTTCCTTTAATTTCTTCATCTTTCAATAGCACCATGATTTCCTAAAATGCTGCTTGTCTTTTTCTCACAGGTTGCAAAGTGGAGTCTGTCTTCCTTAACATCGAAGCTGTCAACACACACAGAGACAAACCAGTGGTAGGCTCACTTTGTATTTTTATTTGTATTTTTTTTTACAAAAACATGTACAGTATAGGAAAGCAGGTAGTTTTTTGAGTCCCTGGTAGGGTCTGCAGAGTTTCCTGTAAGGTTGTGTACAGCCATGGCATCCTCCAGTTACTGTGTCAACTGACCTAGAGTTAAAGTGATCTTCATTTCTGGAGCTGAAAACCTGCCATTTCCCTCAATTCAGGGTGAACAAACTACATGTTTTCACTTAACCTGGTTTCTGGAATACTCCCCATATGCTGTGAGTTTGTGAAAACTAATCAGCAAGTGAGCAGAAAAGTAGATAAAAGTAAGGAAACATCCAGCCACCTCAAAAAGTAATGGCACAAATGCAAATTTGTAAGGCAATAAGTCCAGAAAAAGCGACATACAGAGCACCATTAATGTTAAGACCAGTGTGTTTTGGCTTGTAGCCTTTGTCAAATGCAAACTTGACTAAATTTGCTGGAAATAGAGACCAGCTCTAAAGACACAGACAAAAAAAAGATGCATATGGGGTGTAGCAAATGTTTTATGAACTCTTCATTGATCTACTTGATAACATCTTGACAGTCATGAAACCACAAAAGCGGGCATGAAGGACAAAAATACAAGTGAAAAGTGAGTGGACAAACACCCCATAAAAGTACACTACCGGAGTCTGTATTCAATTAGTTTCTCCAGATACAATCATGAATACACACTGATATCAGATAGATTGGATGAATCTTTCTTTCACAGAATGTGGAAGTGGACAGGCACTCAGCGGAGGCATTGGAGACAGTCCCAGACCACATCTAGAGGAGAAAATGTTTGAGGAAACTTGTCCTTCCACCCTCATGGAAAGCAACCTTTTTTTTAATTTAAGTAATCATGGTGATAATTGTTATTGTGGTTACTGTTGTACTTTAATAACCAAAAGCAGACATTTCTCCTATGGCAGCCTATGTCTTATACTGTATATGCACTTAGTAATACAGAACTCAGGCCAAATGCCTATGATATGAGGACAAGATTGCTTATTCTATGAAAAAAATTACTTACTATTGTGTTATACCGGCCAAAATGGGCCAGTATCACTGTTTGGATAATCTTGAATATAGGAATTTGTGTGTTGTTCCTCTCTTTCTTTGCTTCTTCAGCCCACTTCCTCTGACATAGCTTTACTAAAGCATTAAAAAATGTAAAATCATTCAGACTGCCAGTACAGTCAGGTCTCAACTTGAATTGCCATGATATTTTAGCCATTTTTTCTTAGTCTCCAGATTCAGAGGTACATCATAACAGAATCAACATGCAAGTCACAGAAGTCTCTTAAAAGCCTTTCACCAAAAAAGTCCATGCCTAGATTTACTTTCCAGTCTTTATGCTAAGATAAGCTAAGCATTTGCTGGCTGTCATTTGATATATGAAGTACAGACATGAGTAGTATTGATCTTCTCATCTTACCTGCAGTATGAACACACATAACAGAACTTTCCAAATTATCAAACTATTTGTCAGGGCGGTGTGGAAAATACTCTGCTAAAATATAAGTGAACCCAATTAAATGGCCAGTATTACAGGTAGTGAGTAAGAGTCTTTATTAACAACACAATGAGCAGAGAGGAAAGGGACAGATCAGCATCTGATCTCAGGCATGCGGGAATCTTAGTAGCAACGGAGTAGCAGGGAACCCGGGGAGTCAGGTTTCACAAAGATACCACAGATTCAAGCTGGCTGGAGTGTCAAACGTACAGTCAGGACAACCTAGTAGCTCCTCTGAGGGATGGAGCTGCTTATAACAGGACATACACAGGTGTGTTCAGTTTCCACAGGTGAAGATATTTGGTGTGATGAAGTAAAGTGACCTGGAGTGAGAGTAGGGTGAAACAGGAAGTGTCAGGAAAAAATAAGAGCTGGTTACCGGAGGAGGAACCAGAGATCATGACACTATTTAAACTTGAACTGCCCTGTAGGTTTGAGTCCCTTTGAATCTATAATATATATAATACGAGTATCCAAATGACAATGCTGACTGGTTTTTGGGTGGAAGTGGTTTTGGTAGTTGCGATGATGCTAACTTTGGTATGAAAGCTTATTATGTTAATGGACTTTCTGACACACCCGTTGGTGTAGATGTCAACAATAGAGAGATGCCTATGATCTTCTCTGCTGCTCTCGCTACCCTCTGCAGAGGCTCCTGGTCAGCGGAGGTACAGTTTCCATACCAGACAGTGATGCAGTATGTTAAGATGCTCTCCATAGGATGTTGTCATGATTAAGGGGATGGAGTTTGCCTTTTTTAGGATAAGGATAATCACCTTTATTGGCCAAGTATGTTACACACAAGGAATTTGTTTCCGGTACAGAACCGAGGCAGCCATCTGCGGCGCTCGG